GGATATTCTCAGCCCCCAAAGATTCCAGCCTGACTTGCCTGGCTTGCTCTGGACCACTTGGCGTGTGATAGCAGCCGCGCACATTTGGCAGAGACATTTTTAGAAACTTCCAAGCTATGAATTCACCCTTCCATTTTGGTAAAGCCAGTTATGTGGAAAGCATTTCAAAAGCAGAACTTCAAATACAGACTTAATTTCCCCTCAATTCTTAGAGGGGGGGAAAAAATAAATACTACTATACTCTTCATTTATTTTCCCACAGAGAGCTATCCTGTAATATTTCTGTATTTGCTGACACTATAACTTATAACGAAATAATTGTAAGTCAAATCAAATCAGTCTTTTCAGCACAGTTACACCGCATGTTAAAACTATTTCCAATTCTTTCCCTCAGGTCCATGTTTTATGGCAACACTGAAAGGTAACTTTCCTTGAAAACATACATCCAACTAAATGCTTAGGAAGTGACCTCCATGCTGCACACTTCAGGGATGTCCTGGGGAGATGCCCACAACCCCAGCTATGGCAACACGGATACCCGGCAGGTGCCTGCTTCTGCCCACGGGCTTTCCACCCTGGCCACGTAGGAATGGAGACCAGGATCACATCCGCATTCACAGCCTGCTAACCACATGCTGGCAACACAGATAAATATCTGACAGCGCTGTCTGGCTCCTGACACACTGAGGGTCAACTTCCAGGCATTTTTCCATTTTTCCACAGGTGTTCAGAAAAAGCAAACTGATCTCAGTAGGTTGGACTCCATAGGCAAGACCTGACATGGACTCTCACAAACCAGCAAGCTCTAAACGTCTAAATCAGCTGAGACATCAAACTGTCCCATCCTCATCCCTAAGTGGCTCCAGCTGCACAGCAAAACACCCATAGTCCTTTAAACGGCTTCAGCCCCCTTTGCCGGGAGAAGACAGGTAGTTAACCACCACTCTGTTGATGAGCAGGAGTTCATTAACCCACAGCTGCTTGATTGCTACCAGCTGCCTGTCTCAGCCCCTGAACTCCAGGGCAAGGAGATCTCAGGCCCTTTTTAAGCTCATAGTAGTTCCTTGCGCTTTGTTTTAAAGGAGTGTTATTCTTTGAAGAAAAAAGATTTTCACTGCAAATGTTTGTGACAATGAATCCCACTATCAGCTTGCAGTGACCACATCTGATACCTGGGGGGGAGGAATGGTCCAGGTAGCAACAGGAGCACTCCTGTTTGCTTTCACTTGTGTATGAACCCCCCAGCACAGCCCTGAACACTTCTCCAGAGCCCTCTTTCTTTCTTCCTCTAAAGCTCCCCAAACATCACCTGCTTCTGCAGTCCTGGAGCTCCTGGTCTCAGGAGGCCTCCAACCCTTGGCCCCCAAGTCATGCCTGAGACCCAAAAGCACAGAGGGAACAGAGACCATCCTCTTCTCACCGTCCCTGATGGGTCTGCTGCACTTGTCAAGGCAAACTTGAAGGGTGAAGCACCTAAGAAAATGCTACTCCCTTTCAAATAAACTGGTGCGATGCCAGTTTTTACCCTTCACAACACAACCTTGGGCATGCAGCAAAAGCAAGACCCTGAGACCCTGAGACTCACCATCCTGCATGATTCAAACCCCATCATCATATTCAGAGGTGGCCACGGAGACCAGTGGGCTGCCCAAAAGGCAGAAGATGCAAATAAAAATCCCCCTGCAGACACAGAAGAACTGCACAGGCCCAACTTTCCACACTCCCTTGATAAACACTGCAAGTATCAGACAACAAAAAGCCAGGCACAACCACCTCCTCTTCCCATGGTACTGCTCCTGCTCACTTATGCAAAAGATCAGATATAGAGACCTACCTTCAAGCCATGAACAAGGTCTGTAGGTGAGGAACAAGCCAGACACCATGCTGCAGCCTGGAGGAACGATGTTTGAGCACCCCCACTCAGCCATCCCCAGCTGTGGGCCATATGGGCTGATTGAGGCATCCCACCATGCCTAGGAGGGATCCAAGGCACTGACCACCAGCTCTGGCTCTGCTCCAGCACCCAACCACCAAGCCAGGGCACCACTTGGGGTGTTAGAGATGGTGCTTCACCAAATCACCCTTCTTACCACAAAGAGAAATAACATTTATTTCGCTGTCTCCACTGATTATTTCTTTTCAGGTCTGTGGCCCATCAGGAGCCTGGATGCTTTCTGGCTGCCTATGGAAGGAAACAGTTCAAGTACCAAGTGCTGCAGATTGACCCGTTGCGTCCCAGGGAGGATTTCTTCTCTTCCCCTCTCCCAAAAGGTCCAGTTGTCCTTGATCTTTTTTAACTTATTTCCCTTGTCTCTAAGGACTGTAAATTGGCAGTCAGTTTACACAGAGCAGGTAGGTATGTTTACAAAAGGACTAGGTTATTTTTTTGAATGAAATCCGGATGCAATAGAAAGCAAATGTCATAAGGAAGGTCCTTAAAAGTTATTTTTTGCCCTCAGAGTGTTCCAGCAGGTCAAGGTCTGAAAGCTAAAATTTCAGTAACAAGATGCGCAAAACCCAAGGCATTCAGCAACAGACCTTTTATTTTCCCCCAAACTGCTACGTTACAGTCCCCATCCAAAAAGATCACCCCTGTAAAACAAACTTTACTGAAATTCTCAGCACTGTGAGAAAGCTGCTTTTTTAAGGTTGATCTACGTTCTGACGGGAACACGCTGCAAAGATAAACACAAAGATAAGCGAAACTTCCTGCAGGCAGTCGCGCTGCATCGCTGCTTACAGCAGAGCTCTCTCCTCTGCTTAGCGTCCCAGTATCTCAGAGATTAGCAGCAACCTATTTTTATATTGCGTCCACATGAGGGAGGAAATACTGAGGCAGCTAGTGTTTGACCACCTGCAGGTACCGTGTTTCAGAGAGACGAGGCTGTTTTCAAGCTGGCTGAAAAAAATAAAGCCGCACTGCTACATCAGGCCTAGGAACAGTAAGTAGCCAATAAAAAGAGAATTTTATTGACTGCTCTGAAGTTGCATAAAACGGTACTGCACTGCTGATTTGGAAAATAGGAACTGCTGCATAGCAATTAATTTGAAACATATTTATAATCTAAACAATTTTCATGTCTTAAATATTATTTGTATGTAAAGCCATATTTTCCAAGACTGCGGGACAGGCGGACACACTTCTATCACCCTTTGTACGTCTGTACACATCTGTGCAGAGGGGCGCAGGGACGAGCGGGCTCCAGAGAGGGCAGCAGCCTGATGCTAGGGATGATAGGTGTGAAATGCAACAGCCAGTATCACTGAGCTGGATGAAACTGGTTCCATTGTGGCCTCAACTTGCAGACTACACAACGCTCTCCTTGGTTAGCAGTCTGCTCATCAGAAGACTTCCAAAGCAAGGCTTTTATTATTATTTAAAAGCACACATGCGTTGACTTTGTGCAACGTATCTTTTTTAAGCCAAGTTGTTTCTCTCTTACTCAAAACTAGAACACACACATCATCAATTTATTTCAATCTTTGTGTAATTCTGTATCTCAGTAAAGGCTATTAGGAAGGCTGCACTGAAATACGATGAATAAACGATACGGAAAAAGCCACATCCATTCTGTCTAGTCTGCGTACTACAGGACTTCCACTGCAAGAAAACGCTCTCGACTCCCATGCAGTAGTGCCCTCTGCGGGATGTACCAATCCTAGTGCGGAGGTTTCCAAACCCCTTGTTACTACCCCAGGAAGAAAGGCTCCGGTATCAACTCTTCAGGCAGAGCCCTTGGTTTTGAACTCGATTACAAATTCCAACTTTTCTTGCTTATGCACATAGCCATGCAATCACCACTTCAACCGTCCCGTACTCCAGTTTAGATTACTACAACCTACTGCCACTTCCATATTTAACCAAGCTTGTAGCAGCTGCCAGCAAAGGGGTAAATTGTGACTACTGATAAGTTCTAGTAAATAAATATACAATGACAACATAATCGACTGGTCACCTCTTCTCTCTAAACGTACTATTGAGAACTAACTACAAAGGTAACCTAGCCTCAAATTTCACATAAAATTAAATACTGCAATTTTCTTGATGTTGTATTTCTTAGGATATATGTAGCACTGCTTTTTAAAAAAGTTACTTCTAACTACTAAATTAAGGCAGTATTTAACCATTCTGTGAGAATTTCCTAAACAGAATGTCAACTTTACCAGTCAGCTCTGAAGAAGCAATGAAACCATTTCCAGAGGGGAAGGCAACATCAGTTTTAAGAACATTGCAGTGCAGTTTTTGGTACTTCAAGGTACTACATGGAGTGTGGCAGGTTGGTATTTATATTATTAAAGCAAATCAACTCTCATTACTTAAGCACAAGAGATAGGGAAGGTAGTAATTGTAAAAGATTTTACTAACTGAGAAAAGATCAACTGTATGAGCAAGAAAAACTTTCAAACTTACAACTTGGCAGTATTTTTCAAATACAAAGTATTAAGTGGAATTTTATAAGGAGGGGGAGCAAAAAGGCTTTTGATTTCAACAGATTGGCAATGTAATTCTCAAATATATTGTGTGAATTAATAGTAACAAATGGGGCTCCCATTTTTGCTTTTGTCAGAGCCCTCCCAAGGCCAGAGGAACAGAGCCAGACTGTATGTGTACTACGCTCCCAGAAAAAACAATCCATAAGCAACCACTGCTGCTAAGTATTAAGCAGAATTTTTACACTAGAAGTTATTCAGGCTCTTTCAATCCATCAGACTTTGTTTTTTAAACAAAACTCAGTTTACATGGATACAATAAATAGTTTATTAACGGAATGTATGCGAGTTTCTCTCTTCCATCCTTCCTCTTACTCTCAGCACCTTATACACAGATGTCAAAGCAGCTTCCAATCCAAGCCAAGGACAAAAGTTAATTTCAAGGCAAAACGAAGAGAGGTTGATAGTTAAGACTGGCACCTCTGAGTGCCTAGTTCCTCAAGCGCTTCTCTGGTTCCCCAAACCTACAGGCAAATTGTGTTTCTTCTTTCCACACCTTGATCTACCTGCTTCTTCCCAACTCGTTCTCATTTGAGCTCTTCTTATGCAGGTCGCACACTCCACGAGGACAGTATAAAGTCATGCCTGCTTTAACGCTCCTTCAGCTATTGCAATATCCCTTCATTATTTTATTTAAAAGCCCTACCGTTATTATTCCATCTCTTTCTGATCTTTTGTAATAGTTCAGTTTAGCTTTGGAATTTTACAAAAATGGAAAGAGTCTTTTTTTCAAAATATAGAGCACCGTAGCCAGGAATAAGGCAAGGGCGAGAAAGATTAGCAGCTTGTCCGTCAGTTCCCTGCGATTGTACTTTGTTATTAGCTTTCGCCCCAGCTGAATTGTCCCAGACATGGACTTAAATTCTTCATTTGCTTCCAGGATGGTTCGTGAAGAATTGGCTGAAATTAAGGGAAAAAAAATAATTCAGCTGGTTGCGCTTCAAGAATACATGACAAAGGATATAAGCATGCAATGTTTGGCAATACAGATAGTGCCTGTGAGATCCTCCTGGGTCAGACTGACTTATGGGAGAGACAAATGCAGACTGTGTTCTTGCAGAAGCTTTCACAACTCAGTAGTCCTGATGTGCTAAGGAAAAATGCAAAGCAAAATAAGAGTACTGAATGGCTTAAAGGCCCTATGTCCTGTTCCTGAATTTTTAATTTTTAGGTTACCAGATCAAATCTAGTTCACATTTTTTAAGAACAAAGTCAGTGCTACCCGAGAGCTCGCTGGAAGCAGAGTGAAATAAGAATGGTGCTAGAACCACCAAGTTAAGACAGAGAAATCGCCATCACTATCAGCTTCAGTTCTAGCAGCAGCAGGACAGGTCAATATTTGAACATATTAATTGCACAACTGACACTGTTCCCCTAAGCCAGAGCAGTAAATCAGTGTGATTCAGATGGGGTTGCAGAAAGTGAAAAAGCAGCATGCAGCAGTAAGAGATCCTTAATTATTCAGCTCAAACAATTTAAACAGTTTTTAATAGTTATTTTTGACAAACATAATTATTTTTGGCTTTTTTTTCCTAATAAAAAAGAGAAAATCAACTAGAGAAAAAGTGTGTTGATGGGTCTCAACCGAAGACAGAATTTGAAAATATGCCAAAACAGCAAGATGGAACATCAGTCCCTTTCAACTTCTCTTCCCCTGTGAGAAAACAAACAAGCAAAAAACCACCCCAAACTCCTTAGCCTTCCTGCTTTCAAATTACTAAATGAAAGCAAAAACCCAGGAGTCCCCTTTTTCTTATATTACAGAATGCATACCCTGTACGACAGTGAATGCTGGTGTATCACTCTATACTGCACTGATTAATTAAAGGTAGGTCAAACTCCAAGCATGTTGTCTGGTTCACAAAAACAAGCATAGTAGAAATACGTCTGTAATATTTTGCAAGCCATTATATCCCATCTTAAAGAGGCATTTTGATCCAAGTGAAAATAGAAAACTTGTTTCCCATCGTTAATGACAAAGCAGAGCTTTCCTGCCTCACAGACGCATATATTCACTGCATACTAGGAAAGGACTTGCTCAGAAAAAAGGAAATTCTAACTACTGATTCAGAATTTGCAGCTGGGTTTTGTAAATGACCTTTGATAGTTTTTCCCTTGATGAACTCCAAGTGCTGTTCAGTCAGAAACAGGGTGAAAAAGTGTCTGCCAAACTGTCTTTTTAATGGGAGAAGAAACATGCTACTTTTCCGTGAACAAACTGTGCCCAGCTGCCATTCTCAGATGGCGGCAGAAAACAAGGAGGGCAAAAGTTGTGTTATTTATCCTCGTATTTAAACTGTTCTCTCTTCTGCCCAAAAGCGCAGCTAGTAAGAGGCCCAGGCAACACAGATCCAACTTCTAAATGCTTCATGAATCACCAGTTCTGACAGGTCACTTGATTTATTGTCTTAGGAGTCTAAGCCAAAGAACTGGGTGAAATCTTGGTTTCACAGTCCCTGATGCACTGCTGACAGAGCAAGTGACCTCGGGTTCAAGTCACTTGATCTCCTCGTCTCTTAGTCCTCCCAGCTGGAGACTGGGTGAAAACAGTCTTCCAGCCATACTAAGTTTCCTCTGTGTATGGACTTGTACCTACGCTTTGATTTTCTCTGCTATTACCAAATGCACGCCAGGCCAGTAGCACAGAGTAACACCAAAAACGCTCTTAGCACAACTGCTTTTACAATTGCTTTTACAATTGCTTTTATGTGAAACTAAAGCAAAACCTCCTCATCCTGCCCCCTCTTCTTGCCCTCTTTTCCTTTTCATAATCACGAAGCAGAAACTCCAGCAAACAGCTCCACGCAACGTACATTATTATTTTCTGGTTATGTTCAACTCTTAGAGGAGTTCTGCTGGACAGTCCTTTAATTATCATCATAGTACGTTCTCCTACAGCAAAGCAGGTTACCACTCTGCTCCACACCATGTCAGTTTGTCTCTCCCCATCCTAATAGAACTGGAGAAAGGTGCTTCAATCATCCAATCCATACCCAAACACCCAAATACCATCTGTACCTAGGGTTTGCACGGTCTCCTCACTCTGCTGGACTTGCTGTGACATCATCCTGCTAATGCCCATCAGACTCTCCGTGATGTTACTTGCACTCTCTGCCAGACTTTCCTTTGTAGTCTTCCTGAAAAAGAAAGGGAAAAAGTAAAGCAGGAAGGGAAAAAGTAAAGCAGGTACTGCAGGAAAAATGCTGCTGCCAGGGAGCTTAGAACAGAGCTTGGCACCAAACACCTCTGCTAATGTACAAAAGACCAATTAGTTTTTACTGTATGAGAAATTCAGATTATCTTCACTAAACAATAAAAAAACAAAAAAAAAAATCACAAAATACTAAAGTCATGAGCCAAAACAACTGCTAGTGGTTCAGAATCTCATGGGGGCCCATATTTCACCACTTATGACCATACAACTTCATGAGCTGGTATGGAAGCACTGATACAAACTACCACTTTATTATCCTGGGCATCCCATTTGTTGCTTCATGATACTAAATACACCAAGTTTTCAATACAGAAATTATAAAAGCTTACATCCAGTTTCGCACAGGAAAACAGCTTGCATAATGATCCATTACTTCTTTATAATCCTGACTGGAACTAATGTAAAAGACGGTCAGAAAAACTATGAAGGCTAACTTATCCCCTTTTCTGCTTAGACATGCCAAGATAACCTGAGATTATCACAATCCTTAACAGTTTAAATCTCCACAAAAGGTAAATGCACTCATAAAAGAAAAGCTATGTTCCAGATACAATTAAGACTTAAAAACATTATGTCACTTCCATTCAGAACTAGTGGATATAGAATACACTATTTAAATCTCAGCTCATACAGTGGGACAGTCTAATACCTTTGTCTTAAGGAGTCTCTTCCCTGCAGCAGTTGATCTTTCTCAGAGTTGTCGATAGCAATTTTGCAAGCTAGATTTGCCTTTCTCCAAGCTGCCTGATTGCTGAAATCACAAGAGTACAACGTTGTGACATGATGGTAACACCTTGCAAGTGAAAACAATTTTCACAAAGCAATCACCACTGTAACTGAGCACCCCAGATACCTGCATGGACTTTCTCTATATATTGCACCACAAAATAACAATATACTGTCCTGTCATTTCTTCTCCTACGTGTACCGTTTATGAAGCAAGGGAAGAAGAAAACTGTGCCAGCTGTCAACCGACAGACTCTCAAGCCACCTACTTACATGCTCAACTGCTCAAAGGGACAGACCATGGTTAGGGAGAGGAGACAGGAGAGAGGAAAGGAGAAGGGAGTCCTACCCTTTCCATCCCTGATCCTCTCTTGGTTTTGGGCAAAACAGCATCATGTCAGCGACCGTATTTGCAAAACAGGATCCGAAAGAGGCTGTACAGAAGTCAGATTATCTCTAGTTACAGGGGACCTGTAAACAGCACCAGCTGCCCGACCCACCTGAGCATTTGTTTCTTATGGTTTTCCACTTCCCGCAGCAAGGCTTGTTTCTCCGACTCTTTATCTTGCTCCTTCGCCATCTGTTCGAGCTCCTTGGCAGAAAGCAGAAACACGAAAATCTGATCAACAACTGCTGCCACCTGCAACTCGCACCCCCCACCCCCGGTAGGGAGTGAATTAACAGCAGATTGATCCGATAAACTACCACCCCTCGGCCGGGGCTCCCCACCACCCCCACCTCACGCCAGCCGCCCCCAG